TGGTTGGGGCTGTGACACCCTGGGCAACAGGAGCTGGGCCAGCGATCTCGTCACTGCATCTCCAATTAGTTGTCCCAGAGCATACCTGACTATGGGAATGGCTCCCAATTGATAGCCTGGAAAGCGCTGCCTGGAAGGAGGTAAAAGGCTAATTTTAGATGGGCACAGGAAGGAAGCAAGAAGGGGAGAAGAGAGTAAGCTAGAGTCACTGGAGATCTTTCCCCTCCTTGTCTCAGGAGCTGGGGGCTCCATGTTGCTGTCGGGATGAGGCTGCCTCTGTCTCCAGCCAACCTACAAAACTGGTTTTGACCAGGAAAAGAAAGCCCAATGAACACAAATAACCAAAGAATTCTGGTGGGATTTAATGAGACCCTCTCTCGAAAGAAAGTAGTTGTCTGGGGGGAACCAGAGTCAGTGAGACCCAGGACTTCGCTAGGGGTATCTGAATACAGAAAGCCTGTCTGGGTTACCATCAGGGTGTAGTAAGACTTTAGGTAAATTAGACATGTATGTAGACTGTTTCTTTTAAAGTTCTTTTTTTCTGTAATACTTAATGCCTACTGCAAAAATAAACAATACTTTTAAGAGGGCTGTTTGGTCACTATATACCACTGGTAACACTCTTGAAGGTAAGAACCACTGCAGCCTGAACTCACCTCATACCTGTGAGGTAAGAATGGTTGATTACACAGGGTACTGTAGTTCTGCTCATGGTCTAAGAATGGGAGAATTGCAAAAGTCCACCCAGGACAGGTAAGGGCATAAGGCCCAACAGCTGAAGGGGTGTACTCAGAGACCATAAAGGGGCCAGAGGTGCAGCTAGACCCAGGACAGGTGGCTAAAAAGAGGTTTTGGAGCCTCTGGACTGTCATGACATTTTTGAAAAGGGAGATAAGCAGTTGCAATAGGCACTGTACAGCCCAGCAGACACAGGGAAGAAAAGTGTTAGATGTGGTGTGATTAAATATTTGGCTGCTTGTTTTGAATTTCTGAAGGGATATCACGTGTTTCTACTGCAAATGAAATGTTTGTGGAGGCTTCCCCTGCATAATATCAAATTTAGGATTCACTTTCATAAACAGCATAGCAGTCTTCCTGATTGTAAAACAACACTTTGTTTTTGTGCTCTGAACACAGTGGTGCCAACACTCACAACTTCATTGCAGGTCTTGCAACATTTGGTGGTCTTTTTCCTTAAAGCCCCAGCTCCTAGATTCATGTGACTGCATAAGAATCTCACTTTTTTTTAGAATAAAAGCTAAGTTTCTAGTGAATGTGGAGAAAAGCTTGAAAACACAACACAAGTACAACCTAAAAGATTCAAAAACCAGAAGGCAAACAAAAAGTACCCAAAAGACTTGGGGGCTTGATGCATGATTTTTGAATTCTTGGGATTGGCAATGTAAACATTTGGTTCACTTATTGTTCATAGCCTTCTTCCTCTTATCTGTTACTGTCTCCTTGAAAGCACCTTCTTGCAGCCCAGACGCTGCATCCTCAGTAGCTGTGTATCCCTTCCAGAAGCAGCAGTAGTTGTCACTGTGCCATGGGGATGTTGCTGAGTGGGTGTCTGAAAACTTGGGCATTTTCAGCTGTGTGTCTGCCCGTACAAACTTCCAATGAGATATTTAAATGGCTCATGTTACTGTTGAAACCAAAAAGCAAGGACAGAGTTGCACAGGCTCTATCACAGGGGAATTAATATTGTGTATTCTGAAAATGCTGAGGAGGGTGGGGGTCTGTTGTGCTCAGCATCACGCTGGAGCTCTAGTTCTCCTGACACACCCAGCCCCGTGCTGCCCATACTGTAGGCTGACGGTAATGTGGGTGCTATAGACTGAAGTATTTGCTACTGACCTGCTTCATGAAAATGCAGCCCAGTCTATGTCAACAATGAACCATGTGCAACTCAGAGCTAGTGGCATCTCCTGTGCGGCTTTGATGCTGTTGCCAAACCCTGAGGTCAGTCCGTGTTACCATGTGTATCATGTTACTGCTGATAGCAGCAGCAGCAGAGAGGTATATACATGACTACTGTCATTTGTGGAATGACAGTCCAGGAGAGACATGTTAGTGACTGTTTAGTAGCAGGAGCAGCCACTCTCCTCTTACCCTCTCCATGGTTCCCCTGGGTGTTTGTCTTCACTATCAGCCCTCTGTACCACATTCTGAGTAGTTTCCCCTTCTAGGAAATCCTGGTGCTTGTGCACTCAGCTGGAGAGATGAAAAACCTGCCAGAGTGGGTGATAGTGAGGGTGAGTTCACAATAACTCCTTCCCTGCCCTGGCTGCTCTCTGATAATTGGTATCCTAAATTAGATGTTACCCTTCAAGAACAAGATCTTGGAGTCATGATTAGTTCTGTGAAAATATCTGCTCAATGTACAGTGGGAGACAAAAAAAGCTAACAGTGTTAGGAACCATTAGGAAAGGAATAGATAAAGCAGAAAATATAATAATGCCACTATATAAATCCATTGTATGCTCACACCTTGAATACTCTGCATTTTTGCTTGCTCCATCTCAAAAAGGATATATTAGACTTGGAAAAGGTACAGAGAAAGGCAACAAAAGGGATGAGGGGTATGGAACAGCTTCCATATGAGGAGAGATTAAAAAAGACTGGGCCGGTTCATCTTAGAAAAGAGACAACCAAAGGGAGAGAGGTGATGGCAGTCTACCCAATCATGAATGGAGTGGAGAAAATGAATAATGAAGTGTTGTTTACCCCATTCACGTAACATATGAAGTAAGGGTCACTCACTGAAATTAATAGGCAGCAGGTTTAAAACAAACACAAGGAAGTCATTCTTCATGCAGTGCACAGTCAACCTGCCAAACTCATTGCTGTGGATATCGTGAAGGCCAAAAGTATAATAAGGTTCAAAAAAGAATTAGATAAATTCCTGGAGGCTATTAGCCAAGCTTATGTGGGACACACCATGCTGAGTGTGTCTTTAAACATACAGCTGCCAGATACTGGGACTGGACACTGGGGGATGGATCATTTGCTAAATGCCCTGTTCTTTTCCTTCCTCTAAAGCATCTGGCAGCTGCTGTAGGAAGATGGGATATTGGCTAGACCAGGGGTGGCCAACCTGTGCTCCGGAGCCACATCAGGCTCTTCAGAAGTTAACATGCAGCTCCTTGTATAGGCACCAACTCTGGGGTTGGAGCTACAGGTGCCAACTTTCCAATGCACCATGGGGTGCTGACTTATCAACCCCTGGCTCTGCCACAGGCCCTGCCCCCACTCCACCCCTTCCTGCCCCCTCCCTGACCCTACCACGCCCTCGCTCTTGCCCCCCATGGCCGCCTGCATGCCATGAAACAGCTGATCGGGAGGTGCGGGGAGGGGGAGGGGGGGAAGCTGATGGGGGAAGGGAGCTGCTGATGTATTACTGTGGCTCTTTGCAGTGATGAACTGCCAAAATCTTAACAACGGGTTCCCTCCTCACCCCACGAGGGGGTCGTTGCCCACCCCTGCCCCCCAGGACTCCTGCCCCATGCAACCCCCCCACTTTCCTTGACCCCCCCCACGACCCCTGCCCCATCCACTCTCCTCCCCTGTCCTCTGACTGCCCCCAGAACTGGGCAGGAGGGTCTCGTGGGCCACGGTAGTGGGTGCCAGTTTCCTAACCCTAAGAGCTAGAGGCACCTGTCGGAGGGTGAGGTGGGGAGTCCCAGCGGTGCTTACCTGGGGCAGCTCCAGGAAGCATCCGGCAGGTCCCTCTGGCTCCTAGGGGCGGGGGAGCATAGCTGCGGGAGAGCAGCCGCTCCCCCACTGATCACATCAAATGTGGCGCCTTTGGCGCCGACTCCCTGGGTGCTCCGGGGCTGAAGGCTCCAGCCCTAGCGCACCCATGGGGAAAATTTGGTGGGTGCAGAACCCTCACCAGCAGCTCCCAGCCCCAGCTCACCTCACCTTCGCCTCCTCCCCTGAACGCACCGCCCCACTCTGCTTCTCCGCCCCCTCCCCCGGCTTCCTGCGAATCAGGTCTTTGGCAGGAAGCCTAGGAGGACTGAGAAGCAGGCGGTGGCTTCCTGCTCAGGCAGAGGGTGGTGGAGGTGAGCTGGGGCAGGGAGTGGTTCCCCTGCATGCCCCCCCCCCCCCCCGGTTACCTGCTGCAGCGCGGGTGGCCCTCCTCACACCCCTGCCCCTGCCCGAGCTCACCTCCGCCCTCCCTGGGCCTGAGTGGGAAGCTTGCTTCTCAGCTTGCCCCAACTTCCCACGCCGAACAGCTGATTCCCGCAAAGCCGGGGGGGGGCGGAGAAGCAGAGCGGGGCAGCGCGTTCAGGGGAGGAGGTGGAGGGAGCAGAGGTGAGCTGGGGCCAGGGGTGGGGCAGGGAGCTGCTGGTGGGTACTCTGCACCCACCAAATTTTCCCCTTGGGTGCGCTAGGGCTGGAGCACCCATGGAGTCTGGGGGAACAACCGCTTCTAAAAGGGCTTCTAAATTTAACAGCCGGTTCTAGCGAACGGGCTCCAGCTCACCCCTGGCTCTTTGGCGACGTACATTGGTAAATTCTTGCTCCTTCTCAGGCTCAGGTTGGCCACCCCTGCGCTAGACGGACCGTAGGCCGGACCCAGTGTGGCCATGCTTATGTACGGTGGTCAGGGTGTGGGCGCAGGGTGCTCTGTGCCTGAAGCCGGACGCAGTGATCACCCTCACCCCGCTCACAGACCGGGGAGCCGAGGGGGGAGCGCAGCGGTCCCGCCTGCCCACCGATGTTTCCTGGAGGCAGCGGTGTGTGAAACCTACCCTAGAGGGCTCGTGCGGAAGGGCCGCCCCCTATGTACTGACAGGCCATACCGCTCTGTAAGGCCCCCGCACGAGACGCACAACCACTACGCGCGGCTATCGCCAGACGGGAGAACCCAGCCCGCCACAGCCGCAGCTGCGCTGACACGGGGCGGAGACACCCTCTCCGGCTGCCACCGCCAGGACGCCCTCCGCTGCCCGCGCATGCGCCCAGGCGCCTCGGCCGTTGGCCGCAGGCCGTGGCCCCGCCCCCTCGGCGCCGCGCGCGGAGGGCGCCGGGGACACACACGAGAGGGGCCCCGCCTTTCCTGCCGGAGGGAGCTGTTCGTGGTCAGACGGGAAGATGGCGAACCTGGAGGAGCAGCTCTCGGATGAGGAGAAGGTAACGCGGGCCAGGGCCAGGGCCAGGGCAGCGCCCGGCGGGGCTCGGGACCGGGCTGGGCTCTCGCCGCCTCAGGTGGCGGCGTTTGTATTTTTAGCTTCCTCCCTTCCCGGCGCTGTCAGTCAGAGAGCGCCGGGGCCGGCCAAGGGCCTCTCCCGCCGCGCCTTGTACGGTCCGAGGGCTGAAAATAGGCCCCAGGCGCCGGGCTGGGGGGCAGGATCCGGTGTCCTATGGATGAGGCCGCCCGCCCGGCCCAGAGAGCTCGGCCTCAGGCGCTGCCAGTTTCCTCTTCCCTCCCCTCCCCCCCCGCTTTCCGGGGCTCGCCCGATCCTCGCCCTGGGGCGGCGGCTTCCTATTGATCGGGGCGTGGGGAGAGCGAGCCTAGTGGCGGGGTCTCGGAGAGGGGCCCTTCCCCTCGTCCCACTCCGGCGGCCTGCCTGGGAGCTCCCTCTCTCCAGAGCTCCTCGCAGGCTGGGGTGTAAGGGCTGAGTTCCGTGTCTCTCCCCACTCCGCGTTGTAGGGAGGGAGACTAATGGGGCTGGTTTCTGGGCGGTGTCTAGTGGCTCCCTTCACTTCCGGGGGTCAAATAAAGGGAGACTTCGGCAGGTTGGAGGAGAGTTTTGGTGGTGTGGTGTATCGCCTATCCCCGTTGCTGGGGGAGAGTGGGTAGGGAATTCAGATCCCACCCTTAGGGATGAATTATAAGGACAGAGCTTAAATACTCTCACAGGAGACAGGGTTGTGGCTCAGTGAGCTGTTTATAATCTTTCCCTGGCTATTTGATTTTTTTCTTTGCTTAGTTGGTCTCTGTGGCTTGAAAATAGCTTCCTAAAATGGTGCTTCAGGGAAGGGGCAGCTTGTAAAACCCAAGTGTTAAAGCTGCTCTTCTTCTTTTCGTCTGTCCTTCCTCTGTTGGAGGGAGGCTCATTACAGTTGCCTGTGAAAAGGAGGCTTTGGAGGCAGGGTGTGGAGATGTCTAGAGGATGGTGATGTACAGCTCTCATGTCTTTATGTAACTGTCACTCATCTATAATAAATGTAAGTTTTCAGAGCTGCTGAAGTTGTGGAGGCAACTCAAGTGTGGGAGATTTTAAGCAATTGAGAGAGGTCTTACATTCCCTTGAAATTAAAGGGAAGACTTTTAAAATGCCTTACTGTTAATTGTAATGTAGGAGTTTTCCTTCATATCTGAGGCCTGCTAGAACTGAATTTCAGAAGCAGGTGGCTAAATGAAAAGTCACTATGAGTTGTGAGAAGTATAGTAGTTTAGCACCAGAACATAGGGTGGGTCATAGTTTCTCAGGATGGGGACTTTAAGGCTGCAGTTTATTCTTTTAATTCATTGAGTACTGTTCCTGTTTGTGATGTCAAAAGCAGCAGAATAGGTAAGATTAGCTACCATGAACGCTAAAAGATACACATTTGTAGCTGGATATTCTGGTCCACACCTTGTCTGGAAAAGTTGCTTAAAAAAACATAGGGAAATAAAAATAACACTAAACAAAGACACTTTGGCATCCTCTGGGTAGAAGGGTTGCCAATTTTGGTTGGAGGTATTCTTGGAGGTTTCATCACATGACATAATCTCTAATTAAAGATTAATCTGTAATTCATGGAGACTCCAGGGCATTCCTGTAGGATTGGCAACACTATATTGACATACATACCTAGGGATAAACTTAGAAACAACATCTACTTATCTGGCTGAGAAGTACTTGTCGCTACATTGCCATAATTTTGCTCTGTTACAGTAATAAATTCTGCCCCTCAAATCAATTGACTCTCACTCTAGCTAATGGAATCTAGGCTCTTTTCTCTCCTACCACTAATCTAATGAAGTTCTGAGGTCTCTTCCTGCAATTCTGATTTCTCTTCCTTTCCTCAAAAAGTATACAAATGAATTCTGGACTCTCTACTTCCTTCTCAGTAATAAATTATAGGCTCATGAAATAAATGACGTGCACTCCACTGCTATAAGTAAGGTTCAGATTTTGTCATGGCTATTTTAAGTAAGAGTCAGACAGGTCAAGAGCAATAAAAAAAAAATTCACAGAAGCCGTGACCTGTCCATCACTTTTACTAAAAATATCTGTAACAAAATGGGGATCAGTGGGTCCCTACAGCGGGACTGTGCAGTGGCTAGGAGCTGCACAGCCCCTGCTGCCTGCAGCAGCTGGGGGCTCTGGGATACTACTGCTGCCTGCAGTTCCAGGGGTTCTGTGGCGGCTGGGAGCTCCGCAGTCCCCCCCCGTGACAACTCCCCACCCCTGATGGTGGCTAGAAGCTGCTGGGTTCCCCCGTGGTTCGGGGGGGGCCCCCACTCCCCATGGCGGCAACCCCTGTCCCTGTGGCTCCCAGCTGCTGCAGGCTGAAGTCTCTGAGGTCACTGGAAGTCACAGATTTCGTGACTTTCAACGACCTCCATGACTAAATCGTAGCCTTAGCTATAAGGTAATACTGGGTCTCGGTGTAGGGCACATCTGGGACGACAGAGCTTCAGCCCTTGAGGAAGCCCTGTGCCTCCCACAAACTCTTCTTCAGGTGGGTTAACCCTTTTCCTTGTCCTAGCCTTGGCTCAAGTCGCTTTGCCCCTGGTCTTTAAAGAGAAGTGGTGCACCTTCAGTGCTTTCTGTGCCCTCCTGAAACGTACTGGCAGCTTAGAGGCTCTCTGTTTCCTGTATGTCTCTCCTCTTTTGTTAAGAGTGACATATGAGTGTCTCTTTTTTTTTTTCTTGCGAAGATAGAGGCAGTGACTTCCTGGTACCCAACTCAACCCTGTCATCTGTGCAAAATTCTGATTGTCCTAGGTGAGTGTGTGTTTTCCATGCCCTGGAGTTTGTCTGGTTGGACAATACAAAAAAAGGGTAATATTGCAAGTTTACAAAAGTAGGCTGGTGTGAGTACAAAGTGCTGAGATGCTTGAAAGTTTTCAGTTTGTGTAAAGGAGGCACATTCACCAGTTAGGGCAAATCAAACTGTTTGATAAGATTCATTGGGTATAATCAGATATCCTATCTGACCTGCATTTGTCCTTTCCAAAGCAGCGGTGTCTAGTACACGCTATAACCCATATAGCTTCCATGAGTATTCTTTTGAAAGATTAGGCTTCCCAGATGACACTATTTTTTTTTACTTATTGAGCATCTATTACTGTATTACTTATTTACACACCTTATTAAGAATGTAAAAATGGCCATAGTGGGTCAATCTAGCCCAGTATCCTGTCTTCTGACAGTGGCCAACGCCAGGTGCTTCAGAGGACATGAACAGAAGAGGCAGTCATCAAGTGATCCACCCCCTTCTGTCCCATCCCAGCTTCTGGCAAACTGGCTAGGGATGCTTAGAGCATGGTGTTGCATCCCTGCCCATCCTGGCTAATAGCCATTGATGGCTTTATCCTCTGTGAACTTATCTAGTTCTTTTTTGAACCCTGTTATAGTTTTGGTCTTCACAACTCCCCTGGCAAAGAATTCCGCAGGTTGTCTGTGTTGTTTGAAGAAGTACTTCCATTTTGTTTGTTTTAAACCTGTTGCCTATTAATTTTATTAGGTTGACCCCTAGTTCTTGTGTTATGAGAAGGAGTAAATAACATTTCCTTATTCACTTTCTTCACACTAGTACGGTTTTATAGACCCCTTAGTTTTCTCTTTTCCAAACTGAAACGTCCCAGTCTTTTTAATCTCTCCTCATACGGAAGCTGTTCCATACCCCTAATCATTTTTGTTGCCCTTTTCTGTACCTTTTCCAATTCCAGTATATCTTTTTTGAGATGGGGTGACCAGATCTACACGCAGTATTCAAGATGTGGGCATACCATGGATTTATATAGAGGTATTATGATACTTTCTGTCCTGTTAGCTATCTCTTTCATAATGGTTCCTAACATTGTATTAGCTTTTTTTGACTGCTGCATGTTGAGTGGATGTTTGCAGAGAATTATCCATAATGATTCCAAGATCTCTTTCTTGAGTGGTAACAACTCATTTAGACCCCATCATTTTGTATGTATTTGTGAGATTCTTTTCCAGTGTACATTACTTTGCATTTATCCACATTGATTTAATCTGCCATTTTGTTGCCCAGTCACCCAATTTTGTGAGATCCCTTTATAACTCTTCGCAGTCTGCTTTGGGTTTAACTATCTTAAATAATTTTGTATCATCTGCAGATTTTGCCACTTCACTGTTTACCCCTTTTCCAGATCATTTATGAATATGTTGAACAGTACTGGTCAAAGTACAGACCTGTGGGGGACACTGCTATTAACCTCTCTACATCATGAAAACTGACCATTTATTCCTACCCTTTGATTCCTATCTTTTAACCAGATGCTGATCTATGAGAGGACCTTCCATCTTATCCTATGACTGCTTACTTTACTTAAGAGCCTTTGGTGAGGGACCTTGTTAAAGGCTTTCTGAAAATCTAAGTACATTATATCCATTGGATCACCTTTGTCCACATGTTTGTTGACTCCCTCAAAGAATTTTAATAGGTTGGTAAAACATGATTTCCTATGTTGACTCGTCCCCAACATATTCTGGATGACTTTACATTAAATCTCTATGGAAGTATTTGAGTTGTGCTGTCCTTTACAGTAAGGTGTGTGCCCCTCATGAAGCTAATTATTCTTACATTATTAAATTTAAATGACTGCTGAATGATTTTATGCTTTGAGTAGATTGAGCGGAAGACAAATATTCATATTTTACAGCAAAAGTATACCAGATGTTTTCTTTCTGATTAAACAAAGAGCATATTTTAAGCCAGCAATTTACTCAAGTAGAATTTTTACTACTTGTGATCCCTAGGCAAGACTTGGGAGTAAGTTTTCTAAATGAATGTAGACACGTTTAGTCAAATTCGCCTCTCATTGGCACTTACTATGGCTGTCAGAACAAGTTTTCTTTTTCTAGGCTAAAATGTGGCCAGCTAACCAGCTTCAGACTTGTTAGCCTGCATCTTGAGGGATTCTTTCTATAGTATTTAAGATAAATCAT